TGCCCTCGGCTATCGCCTCGGGCAACTCTTACGCTTCTTTCGTGCTCTCCAAACTTCCCGCGTGCTCCATAACTCGATAGTGCACGCTAAAGCATGAACCAATTGTTAATTATGTGAGTACTCGTGATAAATGGCAAGAAATGATTGAGCCTCTGAAGCGCAATATACATCTTCGCGCTTTTAACAGAAGGAACTTTGGAGCCCCGACCATGGGGCAATAGATGATGTCTAGCAATGGTAAAGCGGTACCTGGATAAGTTTGGCATCCATCTCTGCAAATCCTTGAAAGTCAGATTCCGCGTTAAATTGCACTTGAAAATCGATATCGCACTCATTGGTGCTCGGTTTTCGAGTGCAATTTGCGGAATGCGGAATTATCTCATCAAGTATTGAATTTTCTTATAAAAACTATGCAAAAAGTCAATTCACCTGAGCCAATTTGAATAAATATTCCCCTCTTTTCTTTTCCCTATTCCTCTGTCACACTTTGGTCGGGTTCTGTCACCGTTACCATGGTTTGATTCATCAGATGGAACTCTTCGCCTCGACCCAGCGCCTGGCGTCAACCCTAGACCAAGCTTTGCCTGCTCGGCTAAGAATTGGTCAACTCCGTCTTTTGGTTCGGAAAAATTGATAAAAGCACTGTGGCTATTGATCTGCTTTGAAAAGGTTAGAAGAGACATAATTAACATTACTGTTTTCTGAATCGTTTTTCAAAGCTACAGTGTCGAGCAGCCATGAGACATCCATAATTAGAGAACGACACGAAATGCAGTGGCAGAAATTACATGATCCTTTCTCTGCGATTCGTTTCATCATGAGTAAACTAAGTAAGAGAACAGGAAGGTTGAAAACTTATCAAGAGTAAAATGCAGTGACTGTAGCTTTATCCATCTCAACAATAATTCACCAATTAAAGATATATATTCAACAAGGATCGGGGTAAGATGATTGTTTACTCCTGTTTCGCAGGTATTAAACGCGACCTAAGTTCAATTTTTGCGGGGTTGACGACTTTGTACACCTCAATTTATCAGTAATCAGCGTTGTTCCGCATACGAGAAACATGTTTCTGACCAAGAAACATGTTTCTGACCTAGAGACATGCCGCCTACATTTAGTTCGCAGTTCGGTTAAAGACTCATTTTAAGCAAAGATCTTTTGTTTTAAGTAATTACAGCCTTCTTTACAACGAAATAAGAATAGAGAAACCTCAAATCAAAAACACCACGAGAAACGCTTTGCAAACGATCGTTATCACAAGGAGTCGACTATCCTGCCAAGTTATCTCGTTATTGTGAGAGCAATGCAACAATTTTAGGACTGCAACCGATCTCTTTTGTGTTACAGCAACATAGAGGTTGGGAGGTTTTTATATTAATTAAGGTTTACTTACAATGCGAGACAATGATTGAGTTTGCGTGTGTACATTTTCCGCTAATTGACGGCACCGTCGAATCGGCGCATTTTATTAAACTTTAAAATTTAATTATATCACACTGAATTATTTCCCCATAAAATCCTTCGGAGATCAAATAAGAGGTGCAATTCGCTTTCCACAATTCAGATTTTCAGCCAATTATTTTGTGTAGCACATTGTTAAGTAACGGGTTAATGTCGACCTATTTTTGATCTAGTTGAGAGGGTAAATTCAATTAGATTGTGTAAATAAATGGTCAAGAATTGCTCAAGTTGCTATCAGCTTATGATTGTTGTTGTTTTAAGAGATTTGGTACTCTTTATCGGTCTCGGTTTTTCAAATTCGTGACACAACGTTCCGCCTGATTTGTCTGAAATTTTGATTTTCAAAAGCGGCATTTTAGCAGAATTCCTTTGATTACGACTTTCTCGGAAATAAATCGATATTCAGCCAAACGAAGTATGCAGTGATTTATCTCTCATTGGGGCCCTTCTCAGAGTCGTTACCTCTTTCCCCCTACGGCTCCGGCTAAAATAACTCTGTGACTCTGAGTCGGGCCCAAAACATAGGTACGTCCAAGAACATAGACTTTATTGTTTCAAATAACGACAAGTAACATGTGAACTATAATTCGCAGAATTCATCCACTCGCAAATACATCAGCACGGTACCGTAAAATGCAACATTGCGTCAAACGAAAGACAGTTACCATTCATGTTCGTCAAAGACCGTCCGCCACGAGATGTTGGGTCTGAGATCTACTAGTCGCGAGTCGAGAAATGTTTCTAGGCTACGAACAGTAGAAAGATTTAGTGGTTCGCTTGCGATTCTTTAACAACTATAAATAATTTTGATCCCTGAAGCTCCATTTTCTTTTCGGTTTTTTACAGAGTAAGGGCATTAAATGCGTGTTTATTCTTTATTCCCTATATTTTCAGAAGGCAGGAATTGTCAGCTATCAATGCTCAAGACATATAATTTAATGTCGCCACGTATTTCAGAATTAACATTCGCTTCAAAACTTGTCTTGACGCGATCTGCATTTGTTTAATCAATAAAATTTAGGTTTATTAATTGACCCTTGCCCGAACGAGAGTTGTTATTCCATGACACTGTGACTGTGAAAGTTGAAAACAACTGAAGATGAAGTCCATTCTGCTGTGCCTGTACCTTTTTACTCTTGGCTCTCGGGGTGCGAACATTCCAACCGAACTGGACAGCAACGGAGCCGAAGACGCGAGCGCGAAATTGAACGACAAGTCCATTATCTCTAAGAGGGCAGTTGGAACTCACAATACAGGTCGGTCACCTCTGATGTAAGAACCCGTTTGAAAAAACAATTTATCGGCCGGAACATCTTGTGTTCTGGAGACATTTACTGGATATTTTTCTTTAACTTTTCAAAATGAATCTACTGAAATTTAACGCGAAATATTATGACCAAAGTTTATCTTTTTGGCGGAAATTTAAAAGCGCCTTTGATGGTCGGGATGAGACATTTACTATTGATGGAGTCAAACTCGTGATTTGTAATAAGCGGACAGGAAGCGTAAACTTTCTCGCTTTGTGGTCATTGTAGTTTCATAAGTTCTGTATTCTTTCAAAGTGGAACTACCGGAAATTTGACCCGAAACCTAAGATACGTCTATAGTTTACCTTCCTGGTGGAAATTTAACATAACCTTGGGTTTTTCATCGGAATATCTTCAGCAAAACAGTCAGGGACTACGTGCGATCTTTTTTCAAATGGAACGCCAGGAGTAAATTAATTGAAATTCGACAGGTGACACTAGGAAAAAGGGTTCTGAATATGCGAGAACGATGTGTAATTAAAAAGGTCATTTTCAAAAAGGTGAAATGGTTGAATTCAAGTTGCAATGATCAAAAAGAGCAGAAACAAGAGAATATTTTATCATTTAACAACTGTGACAAGTTATTGATATTTTTCGTGTTTTTTAATCCACAGACAGTTTGTACAAACTGAATTTGTCCCCGGTGTGTTTCAGCGCGAGGGGAAACCAGTTTGCGACTGTTACGATGCCATTCACTGGTAAGCTGGCAGCCATGAAATTGATTCATCGTTACGGCTACGTCACGTGCCACAGGCACAACCCTGTTGGCTGGTCACACTGGGGTTGTGGTCATTTGAAGGATTACGTCAACGTTGTCATAACAACATCACGCAACATCATCATTCTACCGCCAGACCAGTTCCTCAAATTTAACCACCAAGCCGGAAAGTGGTCTAAAGTTCCCGGATATGGCGCGGATTCCCATGAGCTGATTCTATCGTTCTTCACCAGTCCTCGTTCAGTCCGCCGGGGACAACAGCTCCGCGTGTGGTATGGTGAAGACCTGATGGGTTGGACCGAAGGAGATAATGGTGGAAGGGTCTGCTTTGATGTCTATGGCAGCTTCGTCTGAACAGTTCTCTTCACCACCATGCAACAACCGATTTTTTTTTTTTTTCACTAGCTTGCTATCATTGCTTATAAAGGCTTAATAACTAGTTTGATTGGGAAAATTTGACTTAACTGCGCAGATTGCCTCTAATAAACCGCGGACATTTGGAAATTGAAACAGTTGTCTGCTTCCGTCTCCATTCCTTCTTCGATCGTCTCATTCGTTCGTAAAACAAAAAACACAAACAAACAAACAAACAAACAAAAACACTCTCCCCGAACATGTGGTCTTTTAAATCAGTTCCTTCCCTCAAAGACAAAAATACCGTTTAGAAAGGGAAGGTTTTTTGACGCAAAAAGTCTCTGATCAAAAAATTAACTCCCTTCCCTAAGAAATACGTTTTTACTTTGCGTCGATCAATTCGAAGCTTCAACATCCGCCCGCGTAACTCCCTGGACATTTGAACTTTTGAATACTGGTTTGTTCTAATTCATGTGCCTTGGGGCCAAAATTGTGTTCAAACACGACCCTGCCTAAGTTCCAGCCGGAGTTGATGGTTAATTTTTTCGGTAAAAGGCAAAATGAGGGACCGTGACTTTCTACTTATTAACCAGGCTTTAAACCCTAACCCTTGTACAACTTTTTTCATGGGCCGAACGCTCGCGAAATAAGCATTTTACTTTTAAGCACCTCCATATTAAAAGAGAAAACACTTGTATTCCATTTGAAAGACTTAATACTCTCGGTTCAAATTCCCCACTACAACCGGGCAAGTTTTAAATTACCACCCTCCTCCCCCCCGAGTACGGGCTCTGTAGGGACGACTAATCTTCTCTGTTCCTACTGAACTAATGACTGGCCCCTGGCTCCGACATAAGGCCTGTTCTTAGGAAAGTGATCAGTAATAATTCGGAAGTATGATATAGAATAGGTTTTGACGCGTTTGTGGGGGTTAATATCTTATGGGAGACAATACAAGAGTGGGTAGATGCAAAGTGAAAAAAATGAAACATAAAACGGAAGAATTTTTGTAAAGCCATACAAGTGAAATAAAAGCTCTTCTTAACCTTTTTTTTTTCCTTTTGTCGCATTTTTTATCATCCAATGCTAGAGGCGTTGCAACCGCGCGAAGAATGGAACGGGAACTCATGCGTGTACCGCGTGCACATCGACCATAAATTACGTTTACATTTTGAAAATACGTTTGGCTTTTTGAGCAAGATACTGCGAGAGTTTGAACTGTGCGAGGGAAACTCAGCCAAACGAGAACTACCATCGCTACCTGAAGGGGGGACATATTGAAATGATTGTAACACAAACGACTCGGTGATTACACTATTGTGTAATTTCTAAGTGCATTCGAAGGCTTTTTATTTTGAGAATTGCGACTAAAAGGCTTACGCTTAAACAGTGACAATTAAATGGAATATGTACGATAAGTGTTAAAATCTTTCAATAGCCTGCTTCAGAATTGTACTCTATTTTTGTGCAACCTTTCACTTCAAACAAGAGGAATGATAAGTTATCCAGTGAGGATTTTTGGGGGATCACATGGCTTTTAAGTTTAACAGATTGACGGAGGGGGAACAGTCGTCGTCGACAGAATATAAAGGGGGACTATTGAAAATTGACTGCTAATGAGGGGGGAGGGGACGAGATTTTAAGATTGTGCTGAGTCTCATGGGGGGGATGAAGTAAAGTTTATCGATCGTAACACAGCCAAACTCCTCCAACTACCCACCCCCTCCCCACTGTAAGAAATTTTGACTGCTAATGAGGGGAGGGGGGCGAGATTTTAAGATTGCGCTGAGTCTCATGGGGGGATGAAGTAAATTTTATCGATCGTAACACAGCCAAATTCCTCCAACTACCCACCCCCTCCTCCCTGTAAGAAATTTTGACTGCTAATGAGGGGGGGGGGGCGAGATTTTAAGATTGTGCTGAGTCTCATGGGGGGATGAAGTTAATTTTATCGATTGTAGCACAGCCAAACTCCTCCAACTACCCAACCCCCCACTGTAAGAAATTTTGACCTGTTTCCTCAAACGTCAAATAACCCAGCAACGTGGGTTTCGCGAAGCGTGTACTGCACCAAATAAGATCCTGATACTCGTGCGTCACACTGACGCTACTTGCTACTAGATTTCAAGTTCTTGTCTGCTACAACTGTAGCTGTTGTTTCTTTGGATCTTTAATCTGAAGAAAGCAAGTAAACAGAAAACAACATTCGCACGGTGGTAACAAAAACATCTCAGCAATAATATTATGCAATGTTCAATTCTAGTCTTTCTGACGCCTCATACTGGCACTAAAATTAAATCACCTGACAGGGAAGTCTTGCCATAAGCGCAGCAGAATCTACTTTCTAGGAAAGATGAAGCGTTAAGCGTTGGTTTCTGTCCACTTCGATCACTTTGAACAAACTGTCGTGCAGCACACAAATTCCTGGCTTAGTAGAGTGCAAAATTTATGCGGACAACGTAACAAGAACTGGGGTGAAAGAAAAAAAATAGCCAATGAGAATAACAATGAATGTGCATTTGTGTTCGAAAAATGATCAATTTCCATGCCGTCTTCTGCAAAACAACAAGCGGAAATAATCGCATTTGCGTATAGCAATTTATATATTTAACTGTTTTGATTTTTAAAATCGCGTTTGCGTTTAAGAGATAACACAACTGCGATGTATTAAATCATACATTTTCGAATGCATCTTAGATGCGAATCGATAAATTGTATTTATTACCATACACTTTGTCCGGCATTGTGGAGCATTTTGACCTGTTAAAATGTATTTTAGCCCCCTCGCATGTTTGCGTTCTTTTTCGGACTGTTCCCAGTTTTTTTCTCAGTTTTTAGTTTCTCAGTGCCTCGAAAAGTGATTCAATGGTACTAATACAGTTTGTGTTCATGGGCATTAAGAAGTTTCGAGCCCTCCTCAGAGTCGTTCAACTCTCGCTGTAACAGCTCGGGCTAAATTACTCTGAGTCGAGCTGAAAACATACGTATGTCCGAGAACATGAACTGTATTGTATGAAATAACGCTACATGTCACTTGCAACTTACAAATCGTATAGTTCATCCGCTCTCAGTTATCAGCAAAGTACCGTGAAAAATGCAAATTTCCGTGAAACTATCAAAAGTTTCCATTCATAGGTGTCGTTAACTCGGAGATTTATAAATCGCAAGTTGATAAATGTTTCAGTTTATTCATCAAAATTATTATTCAAAAGAAACTGAAACCCAAATAGGAAAAACTGAAAACCTCATCGGATACCAAATGTGAAAACCCAATAGTATTTTCGACGAAAACCGAAAACTGAATGCTAGAAAAATGGAAAAATCCGCAAACGTCAATGCGCACCAAAGCCAAAAAAATGATTCAGAAGTTTTTTTTGGCATAATAACCGAGAAGTTGGTCTAAATTAAAATAAGCGAAAACCGAAAATACCAATGCCCAATGCCTCCCCCGCTCGTATTTCTATATCAACATCCGCTTCGAGCTTGTCCTGATGCGATCTGCATTCGCATAATCACTGTAAGTAACGTTTATAAACCCATGCCCGACTGAGAGTTGTTATTCCATGACACTGTGACTGTGAAAGCTGAAGACTACTGAAGATGAAATCCATTCTACTGCGCCTGTACCTTTTTACTCTTGGCTCTCGGGGTGCGAACATTCCAACCGAATTGAATAGCAACGGAGCCCAAGATGCGAGTGCGAAATTGAACGACAATCACATTACCTTGGCTCTAAGAGGGAACTTGGGAATCGCAATGCAGGTTGGTCAGCTTTGAGGCGAGAACCCGTTTGAAAAACAACTATTGGCCGAAACATCTTGTGTTCCCAAAACACTTAAGGGATATTTTCTTTCATATAGTTCTCGATATAAATCTGGTCAAATTTGACGCGAAATTATAACTCGAGTTTATCTTTCTGGCGGAAAAGTCGTACTGGAGCCTTCGATACACGGAATGAAACTAATATTTAATGTTCGTGGAGTCAAACTCATGCTAAGTGAGTAGAAAGCATGAAGAATCTCGCATTATGATCGACTTCGTTTGACTCGAATTCAATCATAAGTACGTCTAGAGTTCACCTTCCTGGTGGAATTTTAAGATAGCCTTAAACTATTTTATTTCATTTTGACATTTTCATTAAAACAGTCAAGAAAAACCTGCGATCTATTTTCAAATGGAGCGCCATCAGTAAATAAATTGAAATTCGTCAGCTGACGCTAGGAAAAAGTATAGTTCTGAATTTATGAGAACGAAAAGTAACTAAAGATGTTATTTAGAAAGAGGTGAAAAGGTCAAAAAGAGCAGAGGCAAAAGAACATTTTATCGCCTAACAACTGTAATGGTTATTGATATTTTTCGTGTTTTTTAATCCACAGACAGTTTGTACAAACTGAATTTCTCTGAATTTCTCTTTCTTTTCTTTCTTTGCAACTGTTACGATGCCATTCGCTGGTAAGCTGGCTGCCATGAAATTGGTTCACCGTTGCGGCTACGTTACCTGCCACAAGTACAACGCTATTAACTGGTGTTACTGAGGTTGTGGTCATTTGACGGATTATGTTAATGTTGTCAAGCAATATCATCCTATTGCCGCCAGACCAGTTCCTCAACATTGACTCTCAAGCCGGAAAGTGGTCAAAAGTTCTCGGATATGGCCCGATTTCCCATGAGCTCATTCTGTCCTTCTTCACCAGTCCTCGTTCAGTCTACCGGGGACAACAGCTTCGTGTGTGGTATGGTGAGGACCTGACGGGTTGGACCGAAGAAAATAATGCTGGAAGGGTCTGCTTTGATGTCTATGGCAGGTTTGTCTGAACAGTTTTTCATTACCTCCATACAAGAACTGATTTTTATCACCAGCTTACTATCATTTCTTAAAAGGGCTAAACTAATTTGACTGGTAAAAATTTGACTAAACTGCGCAAAGTGCCTCTAATAAACCTAGGAAATTTGAAAATTGAAATAGTTTTCTGATTCCATCTCCATTCCTTTTTCGTCTCACCAGTTCGTAAAACACTTGATTGATACCAAAATCTAAATATTGAGCACCTCTGTCCACAGAATAGTAAGAAATAAACAATTCAGCCTGTAAATGGTTAAAAAAAAAACAAACAAACAAACACAAACAAACATACAAAAACACTCTCCCTGAAAATGTGGTCTTTTAAATTAATTCCTTCTCTCAAATAAAAAAATCATCATTTGGAAAGTGAAGGTTCTTTGACGACAAAAGTCTCTGAATAACAAGTCAACTCCGTNACTATACATAAAAGAATATCTGCAGCCACACAGTGTCAAGGGTCATCAGCTACGTTCCTGCGATCAGGGTCTCCTTAAGGTCCCAAGAACTAACTTTAAGACCTTTGGTGATCGTGCCTTTGCCCGTTCTGGACCTTTTTTGTGGAACGAACTGCCGCTTGAAATTCGAAACAGTCCAAGTGTAACGATTTTTAAGTCAAAGCTTAAGACACATCTATTCAAGCTGGCTTACAGTTTGTTTTGATATTTTGTCGTTTATCATTTTAATATTTGTAGTTAATAATGTTGTAAAGCGCTTTAGAATATTTTATAATTTTAGCGCTTTAGAAATGTAAATTATTATTATTATTATTATTATTATTATTCGCTGGTAAGCTGGCTAACATGAAATTGGCTCACCGTTATTAGCTGTCACGCCTACGTCAGCTGCGGTAATTACAGCCCTGCCAACTGGTCTCACTGGGTTGTAGTTTCTTGAAGGATTACGTTAGCGTTGTCATAGTAGCATCGGACAACATCATTCTTCTACCGCCAGAGCAGTCATCAAGTGTATTTATCAAGCCGCAGAGTTTATAGGCTTCCCGGATATGGCCCTTCTTCTCCCGAGCTCATTCTATCGTTTTTCACCATTCAGTTTACCAACGCCAACAGCTCCGCGTGTGATATGTTAAAGACCTAATGAATCATACTGAACTGAAGGAGATAACGGTGGCAGGGTCTGCTTTGATGTCTATGGCATGTTTGTCGGAACAGTTCTTCATTACCTTTTTGCAAAAACGGATTTGTGCACCAGCTATCACTGCTAAGGGCTAAACTGGTTTCATTAAAAAAAGGTCGACATACTGCACAAACTGCCCAAATAAAACAAGGAAATTTAAAGATTGCAACAGCTGTATAAATCTGTTTTCATCTCCATTTCACTTTTATCTATTCAGTTCCTAAAACCCTTTTTACTGAACTTAATTGATACCAAAGTCTGGATTTTAAGTATTTTTATCTCCAAAACAATCAGAAATAATCAACGCAAAAAAGCAAACAAATAAGCAAAAACATATACATCCTCTCTGAAAATGTAGTCTTTTGAGTTCAGTTTTTCTCTCAAAGAAAAATAATCATCTGGACAGAGAAAAGCACCTTTACACCAGAATCTCTGAATTAAACGTACAAAACCAACTACTTCATTTCCCCTTAGAAATTCGCTTTTTTTTGCGTCGATCAACTCGAGCTTCAACATCCCGCGGACATTTTAAACTATTGTTTGTTTTCAAATTCCTGTCCCTCCGAGCCAAAATTGTGTTCAAATACCACATCCAGGTGTGAGATTTTCTTCGGGATGTCCGAGATTAGCGTTGAATGGTTCGCATTTCGGAAATTACAATCGTTCAAGAAATTAAAATTTAGCTAGAATCTGTCCTCGATCTCTTTTGGCAAAAGTTCCGGAATTCTCTGTTGGATAAAAAGCGCCCCCGCCAACATCAACTCCGGGGGTCCCGTAAATCCTCTATTAAGCCCTCCCCCTCTGATTAGCCCCCCTCTGATTAGCCCCCCTCTTTAGAGGAAGAAATTCATTAAGCCCCCCCCCTCTCCCCTCAGAAAAACAAAAGTTCAAAATAATATTCCATGTCAGTAAGTACGATAAATTTATTTAAGTAATGTAATTTTAGTTTGTCACTTAATAATTATCCCTTATCGAGCGACTCCCGGAATATTCCGGGCGCACGTGTTCGTCCATGCGGACGGGTCCCGGAATATTCCGGGTTTCCAAACATCATCGTTTTATTGGCGGAGAAGTTCGGAATATGTCGGGCTTATTTTGAGCGTTTGCACATGACGTCATAAAAACCGCGGGAAAGTTGAGACGCCATGTTGGTGTTCCACATTTTTCAACATGGCGGGATATCCTCTCTCAGATTATGCGAACACGCTCGATCCCCACGTGAAAAACGTCATTTAGAGAAGATATCTTGTGTTGGAATCGATCCTCTCTTGTTATCAGACAAAAAATACGATCCAGAGTGCCTGCCTCTGGTCGAATCGATGGATTTATTGTTGTTTTTGGTGCTTGACACGAGTTATTACAGTAAAGACTATTTTAAGGCGTATAAGAGTTTACAGAAGATGGTTGTAAACATGAAAGTGTTGCTATTGAAACTTATGAAAAGATCATGAAGGAAAAGCACATCAACTTTCAGGTAACGAAATGTGGCACGTTTATCAATAAACAATATCCATGGTTACATGCCACACCTGACGTTTTGTGTAGGTGTGATTGCTGTGGGAATGGATGTGGGGAGGTCAAAAGCCCCTATTGTTTAAAGGATATAGACTTGGAGCTGTATATTAACAAATACAACTCATGCCTACTTTTACCAAATCCAACAGTAAATATTCACTGCTGAAAAGCTTTATTGTGACTTTGTTGTTTGTGGTTTTCGTGAGCAAATTGATCTCTTCTGTGAAAGAATTTTGCCTGATGTCAGACACTGGCACTCTGTTGTTTCCAAACTTAATCACTTCTGGAGATACTGTGTGCTACCAGAAATTTTGGGAAGGTGGTATACTCAAAAGTGAAGTTTGTCTCATTCATCCCCTGATGCCAATTCTGCTTGTTTTTGCAGACTGGCAACTAGAGGGCC